ACCATTTCCACTAGAAACCGTCTTTGAAATTTTAAAACACAACGACAATAAAACTCTCTTTCATGCCTTGTGCTAAACCACAAATGGCTTCAAGCTATAGCGCCAATATTATGGAGAGAACCGAATTTTAAGAGCATAAAAACAATAGAAACATTGATCGCAAGATTAAATTCTGACGAAAAATTGTGGCTGAAAATAATGGATTATGGTTTCATTACCCTATTTTTATTACTATTGATATTGTTGAAGGAATTAAAAAATGGATGCTTTTCAACCTCGGAGAAATAAATCCAGATAAATTTCTTACAATCATGGTTACATTGAATATTATGATTCTTCGTACAAGCCAAAACCTTAAGAGGTTAGAATTTGGTGGAAGAGGGCATGTTCTTAAAGATCAACTAAGTGATGCACTTTTTGCAGCAATCGAAAAAAACAAAACATTAAACTTTTCTTAGTATTTTAAATACTATCCTTGGATATAGTAGTGTACAATCATTAGCTAATACACTCGGGAAAACTAGTATAATTTTTTTAATTCTTTCATATAATCAATTTGGATATAATGATGGAGAGGTGTTAACAAATGCTCTCAAAAAATACTTAAGAAAGATTACACGCAATATTATTGATGATAGAGGCGGAATAGAATTCTCACATGTCCTTCAAGTTAATAATACTTTGACTTTTTTGGACGTTTCAAGAAGTTGTATTGACCCCAAAGGGGTAGAGTCATTGTCAAACGCTTCGATAACAAACAATAATTTAGAACTTTCTCTAAATCTTAGTAAGGACAGTCTTGATTCCGAAGAAACATTAAACCCGTTGATTAATGTTCTTAAAAATCACTCAACATTAACCGCATTGAACCTTTCAACAAATCAGCTACGTTCTAAAGATAGAAATTTAAAGTCACTCGAAGAAAATAATCCTCATTTATGCTCCAAATGGCAACATGTTAAAAGAAGGTCAAATTCTTTATCGAACTAAGTATGCTAAGACTCTAGAAACTATTACACTGAATTCTATAAGGTGCACTATAAAATTCGTTTATTGAAATCTTTAACATTTCTCTATTTTTTGTTTCTTACATGTTATATACTATTATTATTATTATTATTTCTTTATTTACACAGGGTTCAATCGCAAAATCAATGATAAAAAGAGTCAAAGCTACTGGTGGCATTATGGCTCACAAGTATTTAGAAAATTACCGTCTTCGTGTGTGACCTCTCGTTGGATTTTATCATGATCGAAAGGTATGAGTAATTTATAAGATTTTTTTTTATAATTTGAAGTTCAATGTTGTAACAGCTTGTTATATTTATTATTCACTATGTAAAAGATTGTGACGGCGCCGGAACTGGCAAGTGGTACCATATTAATATTCTTATTGAACATCTTGGAAAAATACGATTTGAAAACTAATTAAATTAACGGTCTTAATTTACATAGGTATTTATTATTGTTTATTAAGGAACGTCATGTTTTTTGGGTTAATGTGAATTTTATTGGTCTTTTTTTTTTTTTAGAATTATCGAAACATTAAAATGTAGGTAGTTTGTATTTTATTCATTTATATTAAGAGAATTATTGTAATAACATTCTTGTAATTTTGATTCGGTTATGCGAGAAGACTGAATTGGGCGATGCGACATTTGTAAATACAAACTTAATAAGTCCGTACATATCGTTATTCACATATAAATAGATAACTTATCTTTTACTTTTTTTTTTCTCAAAAGTTTGAGAATAAAACTGAACATGAATTAAAGATAGCAGAAATTATTTCAAAAGAATACGTAGATTTAGTGCGACTCAACATATCTAATGTAAGTAGTGTTTCGGGTTTAATCGGGTTTACATATGAAATATGAATTCGGTTCCAACTCTAGTTTCGAGCAAAACCCATTTTCGGATTTAAAAAAAGCTTCGCCAGTACACTATTGTTAGCCTCGGATCATTCATTTGTTTGTTTAAAAAATAAGCAACTATTAAAATTAACAATATATATATAAATAATATATATTTTAATATCATTTCCGATTTACTTAATTTAATAGAATGAAACGTTCGATCCCGATTATTATAATCCTGTAT